TGAGTGCTATGGTTCAATCTAATTTGAAATGACTCTTGTAATAATGCTTCCAACACTTCCCTCAAAAGACTTCTTCACAGGTTAACTAACCTCACCATTTGGAAACATCCCCCAACATCTGTCTATAAAGGTACTTCTATCTGATTGCCATATACAATACTCAAACATTTCATCCTAAGCTTTGTGAGATGCATTTGTCTTGGTGAGCCATGGATGAAAAGTAGTCACTGATATAGCAGAGTACTGGCCCGTTTCTAGTTCTGAAGATCACAACCAAGGCAGTGAATTGGCATAGAAGAGGCCTGAGATCCAGTGGGGGAGATCAGAACACAGTTATAGTAATGCAGCCGCTAGATGACAAATACAGATCATTATGGTCAGATCCTTCTGTGCACAGAAGAGATGAAGAAGGCTGTTTTCTGCAACTGACGCAGGCTGGTCTCCTGCACATATAAAGAGTCAAGCAGGACTTTGAGAATGCACATTGCTCAGTGAATGGATTGCACTTTACAGGAAAGTTGCCAGGTTCAATTCTCTGACGGAGCCACTGACAATTTCCATTAGCAATGTACACACTTGTTCTTTCCTGGCATTCTCCAGCCTGGATGAGCACTGATGTGTTTTAAAGGTGGTGGGTCAAATATTCCTAAATCTTCTTGAGGTTCACCTCACATGATGGTAGCAAACTGCACTGGGGATGGTGGCGGGTTATTGTCAAAGGGTCTGTTATGGACGTCTCTAGCTCTGTAAATTCCTGTCATATTTGATTTATCTCCCCTGCAAAGTAACATAAGAGCTCTTCACAGCAGTGGTACCAGTTAGGAGAGGCTGGGGGAGGGGGAAAACATCTCACCTTCCCCCAAGTTTTTGCACTTGCTCAAAGTTCCACAGGCTGCGGAGCCAGGGGGCCAAGGCCCACCGCTTTAAAGCAGCGTTCCCATGCTAAATCAGTACAGCTGCTGCTGGAATGGTCGGAGCATCACTCCGTCTTGCATGGTCACAACACCACTGAAATTTGACTCAGCTGCCCCTCCATACAGATGAAGGGGAGGCCAAGCTAAATTGCATTGCAGCCTGGTGCACAGGATCTCAACACCATTTAAATTTGGCCTGGCTGCCAGTCTGACCAGACAACAGAGGGGCAGCTAGGCACACAGGGAGTCTTTTCCTGTACAACAGAACACAGGGAAGCCCTTTGAGAACTTGACACCAGGGGGCACAGACTCACACACTGTGTGGATAAGAGATTCCCAGAGTCCTTGTGGGAGGTGCAGGGGGGGCATAAGCAAAAAACAGAATGGGTTCCCTGCTGCAGGGAGGGCTGGAATTTTCCCCCCTCCCCAAGTAATATCTGAATTTTCAGTAGTTAGTGCTTAGGTCAAGTATCTAGATTATAGAGTCTGGATTGAAGAGCCACTTCACTATACAGAATAGGTTAGCTAGTCATGATTTTGCAGTGATGGTAGTGGAGTAGAATTTTTGTTTCACTTCTATTACTGCAGTGGCACAGACTTGGCTTGCATCATTAGCGTTCTACTCTTTTGCCTCAGTAATTTGTCAGTGGAAATCTTCATGGTTGGTGAGAAAGGAGGGCCTTGCAGCTGGATAATTTGCATTTCTAGAAAATATTACAAGATAGATGGATTCAAGAACCTTCAGGGTGACCCAGCTTTGTTGATTTTCTCCCCTAATGGAAGAGAGAAGGTAATGATCTCCACCTAGATGAGGTAGTGATCCTAGGCTAAAAGATCAGTCCAGCATGTTAAACATATGGGATCAGATATATTTTGTGTGAACCCTATTGGCTCCATGCAGGAGAGGAGTACAGATGCTATAGGCTACACGATGGCAATCATCAAGAACAATGTACTGGGAGTTTACCGGTTTTGGTTTTTGTATTCATTTTAAGACTAAGTGAAAGTATACATTTAAACTTGCCAGACATGTTCAGAGTATTATCTTTCAACTCAGTCTCTTAATTTTTCATACATATACATTTATTGCTAAGTTGCTTGTAAAATACTCAGTATATTAAGCACACACTGAGGAAAAGTATAGGAAGTAATAATTAGATATGCTGGTTTTCATGTGAGGAGAGCCTACCTAAGTAAAAGAAGGCTTGACTGAAGTTTCCTGGTACAACATCTAGTAAATTACTAGAACATACAGTGACGTAGATAATGCCTGCCTGGTTGACAACATAATTAGTAGCACACATTTACTTGTGCAAAAGCAAGACTGTTGTAACTTTGAAAATAATATTGTGCATCCAATACACATACAATACTAGGGACAAATTTTGCTCTCCATTACACTGCTGTAAATCTGGAGTAACTTCACTGAAATAAATGGAGGTACACTATATTTACCCTGGTGTAACAGAGGGTACGTCTTCACCGGATCGGCGGGTAGTAATCAATCTATTGGGGATCAATTTATCATGTCTCGTCTAGACGCAATAAATCGATCCCCGAACATGCTCCCCGTCGACTCCAGAACTCCACCAGAGCGAAAGGCGGAAGCGGAGTCAACAGGGGAGCCGCGGCCATCGATCCCGAACCGTGAGGACCCGAGGTAAATCGATCTAAGATACGTCGACTTCAGCTACGTTATTCTCGTAGCTGAAGTTGCATATCTTATATCGACCCCCCGCCCAGTGTAGACCAGCCCAGAGAACAAAATCTGGCTCACTCACCAGGAATAATAATTTGGCAACAATTTTAAAAAATACAACCCTACATGCGTAAATGTACTAGTCCTATTATCAAGATTGAGAAAATTATGGCAGAGATGTCTAAATCCGTCAGGCCATTACAACTGTAATAATTCTTTTCATATTAATAATTAGACACAATATTTGTAATCTGTGCTTTGCAGTTTGACAGTGCATTGTACAGAAAGCTTATGAAAAAATTTTGGGGCTTTGTATTGAAGCTGATTACAGACCTGCTGACATTTTAGCTCTCGCGCAAACACAATAATAAATAGGTTGGAGAATGCGCCTATAGAGTACACACATTATTCTGAGATTCATTCTTTACTTTGGTGTAAGTCATTCCATATGTGCTTAATGCTCTTTGGTACTAGACTGCAGGATAGTTACATTGTAGTATCCACTATAAACTAATGGACAATACATTGTCTGTACACCAGATTCTGCATTATTGAAATTAAAATAAAACAACATATAAAAATACTCTTGTGTGTGACTTTTGGAATATAATTTAATCTAATTCCATTTCAAGGTCTACAATTGAAATCAGTCACCCATGTTGTCATTACTGGTATTCTACCATTTTGTTTCTCAGGAATACAAACTGTGGTATAAGAAAGGGGCGCATATTTATAATATTAGAGGTCTCTGCTCCAACTGATATATATATAACTCCTATTAACAGTAATGGTAGTTATTCTCATTATCAGTGGAAGAGAACCTCAGACAAAAGGTAAGCACAGAAATAATGAATTTTCACTTGTTTGTGATATTAATTCTTCAATACTCTGTCCTATGACAACAATTTTAAAGACAAAGAATGTGTATTTGCTAGCACACAGCACTCCTCCTCTTAGGCTGAAAGGTTACAGGTTGTTGTTACAAAAAATGAAAAAGAAAATTTTTTCATTGAGAGCAGCCTGTTTAACCTTTCTGTTACATGGTGTGATTAAATGTACTAACTGATTTTATTAAATTTGCAAGATAGTATATTTATCTTCATTTTGGGACAGTGGGTGGATAAAATTTGCAAATACACTGGTCAAAAAATAGACCAGTCTCAATGCACTGGGTTGGCATATGGTCAAAGCACAGAGTGAGTTTCTTTCTCTCTCTCTCTCTCCCTCACACACTCACAAACACACACACACAAACACACACCATGAATGTTGCCAATAGAGTAAAATTTTCACATTAATACTGGAAGCAACTCAAAAGAACCCCGGCCGACATCCCATCTGTTCCCAGGAATTAAATTTAGAAATCATATGTAATATAGACATTTCTGTCTGAATATTATAAAGCTCTGACACATCCAGGCTTTCATTAAAAAGCTCTGAGATGTGACTTGAATAACAATTTGTCTTAGTTAATTAGTATTTTCAGTTTAGCATATTCACTTTCAGACGTATTGCTGTTTGCACATGGTAATTTAGGTAAACAGATCCCATCCACAGCTGCATCAATTAACACTGCTAATCAAAACTGAATTCAGGTAATTAGGCACATTTATGCAAAAAGTGTGTAATTTGGGGGGAAAGCTAGATTCTTCAGTAATATTCCAATAAGCATGAGTCTCTTTTTGCAGATAAGATGAGGAAATAAGGGTAAATCAGCACTAATACATACCTGATGCAGCCTCAGTGAAAAATACCTAAATTAAATCTCACTGTTTAATTGGCCTGTATTTTCAGAAATAGGACTGTATTTTTTGTATAAATGTATTCATTAATGTTTCCATATAGAACAGTTGTTTCATGTCTGAGTAGAGGTTTAATGATTATCAGACAGGACTTACAAGGTTAATGTTTCTTCAAATATTTGTGTATTTATGGGCTATGCTGGTCAAACATGCTCTCATATCCTGTCTAGCAATTTCTTAATGAAAATGCCCTCAGCGCATTTTCATTTTCTTTTCTTCAGAGAAGGTATATGTTAGTTATCTTAAAGAAAACACCACTAAAAATGTCTCTCTTTTTCCCCATTCATGTAAGAGCTCTCTTACCATGTTCATCTCATCTTAACAGTGTAAAATAGTAAATACCAGATTACACCAAAATATTCCCTGTTACAAATTACTTAACTTTAAATTTCTACAGCTCTGTTTTCAAAGCCACTTACTAAATACCAGTTCCCCTGTTTTTTTTCTCTACATTTTCACCAAACAACATTTAGTAAAGTAATTGGGACAACTGTATATTAATGTCAAAGGCAATATTTAATTTGTATTAGACAACACATTCAAAGTAGGAACACGCATTATGACAATAAATACATAGTCTTTTACCTTTTGACTCATCATATTCCAGAGTCTTGGCTAAATCCCAGGCGTACAGAGAGCTTTTATAAGTGACATGTTGATTTTAAAATTTTCAGCTTTTGTTTTCATAGTTGTGGGCACTTTCAAAAGGCTATGCAAGTCTAGTTGACAAAATAGCTTTGTCAGTTTGTAGCTAGTCTTCCATAAATTCTAAACCTGATGAAAAAAAATTGACAAAGAGAATTATTGATTTTTAACAGATGTCTAAAATTAATCTACCATTCTACCTACCTCAGGCTAATTCTTGTTCTCATAAGAGACCAATATAAAGCAAAATTGATTTTTCTTCAAAATAGCATGTTATCATTTCTTAGACTACAGCAAGTCTCTCCTATCCTGTAGCTCAGAAATACTCACTTTCAAATAAACTTTTTAACATCCACAATGTATAATATGAATATTATAAAATTACTCATTTCTACTAAAATATTTATGTTACTATATTAACTCTTTGTAATTATCAGTGTAAAGACTCACCCAATAAAGGCTTTGAAAATGCACAGCATTTATTTGAATCAGAAATATATATATATACACACACACACACACACACACACATACTGTACTGCGTAATTTGCTGTTGTGTAGAACTTATGAAAATGCTAAATTTTCAAGTATCGTAGTTAAATGGGTTAACAAACCTCCAGTTTTAATTTAGCTGTCTGAGTTGAATACCACTAAAATGTATTAGTACATTATCGAGTGCACCTTACCCACTTCACAAAGAATTCAAAAGAAAACAAATTAAAGTGTATGGTAGAAAATAGGATTCTGAAGTATTTGTCTGTTAAAATATCAATTAGCCACAGTGACTGCTGTTACTATGATCAAATCTTGGAATTTAGGATAAGGCAATTTCTAACTTTTATCAGAACAAACTAAAAGCATATAAAGTTCCCCCTGCCATCCTGTCTGAAGGCAGTATGAAGCAACAATATAACCTCACCTCTTTTCCACTTCCTCTGCATTGACTTGTAAGAGAAGGACATTCACCCACTTGTCATACAAATGTTAAACTGAACAGCAGTTGTCGTCCATAGTCTCTCAAATAGTTCCTTTACATTGACATACAGTGTATTTCATCAAAACAGCTGATTTGACCTGTCTCTGAAAGAACTTCCTTCTACTTGATTAATGTTTTCTTAAGAGAGCAAAACAAAAGCTGTAGTCACTAATGCTGCTTTAAACAGTACACACTGTAGCGAAAACACTACAGTAGCAACATAAAACCCAACTGGTGCTTTCCCCCACCTTAAAGTCATTACAGAGCTGGTTTTGATGGAATGTATGCAAGTACTGTACACAGTTGGCTTGGCTGTTATGCCCTGACTACATCAGTAAATATAAACAAATACAGTTCAGAGCTTCTCTTCACTGAGCACCATTACGGCACAATTCACCATTCATTGGAAATACCAATATTTGTTGCATTTTGCATTTATTAATTGGTATTGAGATTTACTGAAATTTAAGCTGGTATTAACTAATATTGATCAAAGAATTATTGCATATTTAAATAACTAAAGAGGTTCACATTGAAGTTGACTAGTACATGAAGAATTTCTCACACATACACGCTTAATTCGTCTCCCTCTCATTTATCACTTAATTTTACAATATGGGAGGGAATGGGCATATTTAATGGTAATGAAAAGAAAAAATGCATGAGATTATAGAGGTACCCTTTATTAGCAAAATGTGATGGATACCTAGCATTAAAAGAAATCTTATTAAAGAAACTCAGGTCTGAGAAGACCAAGCTTGTTCAATTTACAGTAGGTAGTACTAAATATCATACTCCATGTATTTAAATGAATTCGGACATTATAATTTCAATATTTATTTGGTATACCTAGTGTGGATTTGATTATTCATGATATTTCAATACAAATTAGTTTGGCAAACATGGGATCATCATTTTTATACGGTAAGTTTAAGGTTTGAGAACTGCAGAGGCAAAAGCTGATAGCTAATAATTAGTAATCTACACCCTCACAAAAGAGAGACAATGAGTTGTTTATAAATGTGGAATGGAATGCAAGTCCCATAATTAAGAATCAGGCAATGATCCTTTTAGCAAATGGATCTCTTAGTTAAACATGCTGCTAATCCAAGCCTCAAGGTATAATTCATTACTCTGGAGGATCCCCTCTATAGTTTTGCCAGCTGTTCCATCTAGGTCACTCCACCACAAGTGTAGTTTTCATCTCTCCTCACTTTCTTCCTGGGGTCCCACAAGCAGAAGCCTGTCTTTCTGAAGGCTGTTTAAAGTGTAAATGAAAAGACTAGACAGCAGTGAGCTACTACCTCAGGCTCCTTAATTTCTGCACTACAATGCCTTGGACTGCTTTACCTTGGCAGATTCAGTATGAGTTATTCTTTGATGAAAGAGGAAGAAATGAATATGGAATGGAGATAGCACATTTATTATCATTTTAATAGTGTAGAGCTATAGAAAAGGATAGGAACGTTTTACTATGCACTGAGCCACTAAGGGATGGGTTAGTGAAGTGGTCCTTACACAGCTGATCCAGATACCTGCACTGTGGCTAGCCATGGAGGAGAAGCAGATGGCCAGGAGGGGACAGAATAGGGAAGGGAATGGGGGAAGACTTGAGCCCTGCAATCTACTGGCACACCAGAGAACCTAAGATGCACTGGATGTTAACCTGGTACAGTTTACTCCTTCTCCAGATGAGTGGGGGGAACTGGGAGGGAAACAGTGACCGTTTGAGGGCTTGTCTACACACAAACTGGATCCAAAATAACCGTACTGGTTTTAATTCACACATTTTAATATTTTGGTGAAAGCCTCTTATCCAACATGTGAATATCCCACATGCAGATTTATACTGAAACAATGGAAGGTATGAATTTAAATGGATTGAATTATTTTGGTTCCAGTTTTTGTGTCAGCAAGCCCTCAGACAGTCATTAACTTCCTCCTGAATTGCTTCGCGGGCAGCCCAGCAATACACAGATCCTTATCATGGGTGATTTGTTAAGGCACAATTTAGCCATAAATAACTACAAAATTATTCACTAACTTGGAGTTACTGTTTATTTCAAAACTAAATAAGAAGAACAAGTTAGATAGTTCTGAAGCCATTTCTGAGCCAAAGAATTCCTGAGAATGCAATGAAGGTATGTAAAAATCAAGATATTACCATTTTATACAAATAAATTAATAGGGTTTAAAACTCTTTGTAACATGTAATTTTAATGTAAAACTAATCCAATGTAAAACCCAAATCTATCAGAAATTATATTGGAGACTGCTGAAATTGTCTAAGGCAGTAAAGTGGTCCTTGTAACCCAACCCACAATCCTGCAAACAGTTAAGCAAACACAAAAAACTTTATGCATGTGACCAGTCCCATTGGTTTCAATGAACTACTCAAGTAACACATGTGGTTAAGTGCAAATGTACTTTTGGGATCAATCCTGCTATATGATTTTGTACTCTTCAGCACTTAAGCATATTCTTAATATTGCACAATGTGAGTAGTACCACCGAAGTCAAAGCATCTAAGCATGTGAGTAGATCTTAACTTCAATGGGACTATTCATATGCTTATATTTAAGCAGGCGCTTATGTGGTTTATTGATCCAAAACCAGAGTTATCAGTCCCCTGCAGGATCAAGATCCAAATGCTTGTGTGTTAGATAAAAGTATGTTTATTACTTACAGACCAATCTTGCAAAGGGTTGCGCAACATTACTTATGAGAGTAGTCCTATTAACTTCAATAGGACTACTCACAAGATTAACGTTGCTTACTTGTGTAAAGTCTTTGTTGGATCAAGTTCTAAGGGAGACAAAACACATCAATATGACTTATATATCATACCTCTTTAATGAGTTCCCATTTTTTCCCATTGATACCATCTAGCTCCTGCATGTAAAGATTAGCTTCAGACAATGGTTCTTTATTCTGGAATTCCTTTACCATGACAGCCACATCAGTTCTGCACTTTGCCACTGGACTAGTTTTGCCAGAACTAAATCCTCCTCTTTCTGCAATCGCATCTCACTGACATGCAAAAATGAAAATTAAAACATTTTTTTAAAATCGTGAATGACATACCACTCTTTTCTGTGTTTGCATTTAAATTGGACGGAATAATTTAGCCCTGGCTTTTAATTTCAGAAGGGTTAATCACCCTAGCAAAGGTCAATAAAACTTTAATCTACAATAAAATTGCTGCAGCTCCAATCACCTGCAGGAAATTTATTATATTCTTATTTCCATGCAAAAGAATGCATTACTAATCTTCTAACTCTTTACATTAGCACATTCACCATTAACATTTTACTAACATTATTAATTCCTCTAAAACTATTACAAGAGTTCATTTCTTCACATCTCAGGAGATAATCCTGTTAAAAACCAGGCACATCTGCTGTGACACTGCTTTAGTGGACCCCTCTAATCCTCATAGAGGTTTGATACTCCAACTGAGTTCTAACAATGCACAAAGTCTCAATTACATAAAATATTATGGGGTTTAGGTTAAAACAACAATACACTGTTTTAGCAACTTAATCTTGCCTATTGTCTGCAATTACATCACTAATCTATTTTGCTGCTATTCACTACATTTCCTATTCGAAACAAAATATTGATTTGTAATTTTTTTAAACTGCTCTTAAATAGCAATAGAAATACCAGGCTATGTTAAAACCACTGACAATAGGAAATTGATGATAGGAATAACATTTTCCAGCCAGAGCAATGTCCTATTCTGATAGGAAGGCATTGTCCATTAAAAATGAGGGTTTCAGTTGCCACTTCTTATTTTGTCTATTAATTAAAAGTAATATCTTACTGCATTTAATTAGGCTGAGGACTGCAAAATAGCTCTCTAAAATACTATCCAGAATTACGTTTCATTATTAATGATTTTAACGTATCTTGAAAACCATACAAGACTTAGCTGCTAACAGAAAGGGTCTGCATAGATATTTCCATTTTTTATCCAAAATAAATCAATCATATTAGCTAATTTGTAACACAATCCTTCCAGCTTCCAGTCAAACAATATAATTTGAATGCTCCTAAGGTAAATTTTACCTTCACTGTTAAGTATGTAGAAGTCCAAAAGAACACCTACTGAAGCCTTGATATAAAACTAGAGTGCAATACAAGGAATTTGCTTCCAAAATTCCAGAAATTGATGTTGAAAAGTTACAATTACTTGTGCACACAAAGAGTAATAAGCAAAAGGCTCCTACACTGGCCTTACTAATCCCTGAGAGGAAGTGGAGGAACCTTTGTATACTACCCCATTTATATTTCAAATTTATTATTTAACTATAACAATAGCATTGTCACACACTGTAATATAAATATAATATTCTTTTACCTCCCAGAATTTCCTTTTCTGTCTCTCTCTCTTCCTCTTTTGGTTTTTTTATATGGCACACAGACACACACATACAAACACTCCTGTCACTGTCAATATTCACACTCATTAGCAATATGTCAGGCTGGCATTTCAACACATACTCCGGCGCATAACTGAACAACCAAGTAGAGCACACAAATATAAAAATACAGTTGCAAAGAAGAAAAGGCTCAACGGAATAATTTTTAACTCTGAGAATCAAGTAAATATAGAAAAGAATAAGTGAAATGCTTACAGAATGTTTTATAAATGCAATGTGAATTGGGTCTCTAGATAGCAGCTCAGACATTGTTCTCAGTTTTTACATCTAGATGTAAATACAAACATGTATATTTTAGCAACACCATCTATTTAGCAACAACATTCCTTAACATTAAATTACAAATGGAAGAGCCCTGTGCTTTAACTGTTTCCTTTCATCTTTTAATCAGATTCAAACTAAAATAAAAACCCTAAGAAAATATCACAAAATACAAATTGAACAATATTTTTAGTTTCTAAATGATAAGCAGCCAACATTTTTGTAATACCTATAACTGAGAAAATCAGCAATGACAACAACCACATTCACGGTTTTGACAATCCGTGTCTGATAAGATAATGACTAGTATAAAAAATAAGGTGCACAGTGCCCGACTATATTTTTGATTATTCATCTTTTTATTTTTGGGTAAAATTTATTTTTGGTTTCTGTTATAACTGCTTTAAAAATCCAATGATAAAACAACCAAATTTCTCCATGTGGCACCATGAAATGGCACCTCAAAGTCATAAGAACATTTGCCTAAATTAACGAGAGACAATTAGAGCAAGTGCTATTGTGCAAAGAACAAACATACCTTTAGCTGTACAAGTGCACCCCTTCTCAGCACATCTACATAGTTCTGCAGCTCCCGAGTGCAAAAGTTGACTCTGCAGTGCTTATGATCTTTGTGACAATGGCATCACGCTGCTGGTAAATTTTTCGATTATACTTCTCAGACGTGGTAGCAACTTTGTTAATTATGATATTAGCCAGCTGGCGGGTATGATCAATCATCCACTGTAAGAAAGCCAGACAACGAGACATCTAATCATTGCAACCAGAGCAGATAAATTTTGTTCCTTTCTTATACGTGTCACAGATTCTATCCCTCCTGACCCTCTACACAGCCATCGACTGTCAAATTTAGATTCAGCAAGCTCCCAGCTTTTCTTTATCCCTGCCTTAGATCTGAAACTCCTGGTTATCAGGAAGACAAGCGTCACCAGCTGTCTCAGAGCAGGAAGGCAATCAGGTGAATAGTACTTATTATCTTTCATTGCTTTCTGAGGAGTGACAAGATTGATTTGGGACCAAAAGCACATCCATATCTCTAGCACAGTGACTAGGGCTTCAAGTTCGGACTGTGGTGCATATGTAACGCTGCAGAGAGGAACTTCAACCCTGACCTTATTAATAATGCATCTTGAAAATTTAAAGAATCGAAAAAAATAATTTGAAAATTTACAAAACTCCCTTTTTTAAAGCTACACTGGATATTCCCTTCCATCCTCCTCCCCCAAAATATGGGTAGGATGACTGCACTGTTACCCAAGGGATTGTGTTTCACAGTTGGATAGCCTTAATTGGGCCCATAGAAGCAGTTAGCTGCCATTAAAGGCTTCTCTGTAGACATCATCCTTCTCAACTAGTTTGATAGTCTATAAATTCCGATTAGTGGAGCCTACACTGTGAGAAGGTTAAAAAATGCAAATAAATTATAACCTCATAATATAAAAGCACCCTAACTAAATTTAATTTGATAGTTAATTTCAGCCTTGCTCTAGGAAGCAACACTATGTTTGACCTTTTTTATTTACTAGAAAATTGGACAGTTTTGCATCCTGGCTTCAAGATTGTTGTTAAAAACTAAGCATATTGTGAAGTACCAAAACGTGAATTAAATATTGTGGAATTGAAAAAGTAAACAGTATACAAGTAGTGAAAATAAAAAAAACTAATACTAAGCACGGTTGTACAATAATAAAGGCATGGTGATATTACATTTAACAAATTAGGCGTAAGTACCGTCCATGAGGCTCGTCAATTTATAATAACATGCAAACATTTTTGTGAACTCTTCTTTTTACTTTGTAGCATTTACATAGGAACTATAGGATGGACTTCAGTTTTGGCCGAATTGTTTGCAGTGAACATTTGACTATTTGGATCAGAGCCTGTTTTCCAAAAAACATATCCTTTCAGAGCTCATGTACTTGTTTGTTTATTCACTTTCAGTGATCATATTGAAAGTCATTTCTTTGTTTTTCTTTAAAGTTTTCAAAGATTGATAAAAATTTCACACGCTTTTGAACACCAGGGAGAAAATAGCTGCGGATAGAAAATGTAACAGCTTATGAGAGCGTCAGGTATAATCTGGTTATGTTGCCTTGAAATTACAATGCTATCAGAGCTTGCTTTGTCCTTCTAAGTGTGAAATTCTGCTTTTATGACACTGTCTGATGAGGAGAGTTTAAGGGGTCTGGATGAAACGATCATTTAGACCTATCTTAATCATCAAAACACAAATTGCCCAAATTGATCCTTATAATAGAATTTTATTCTGCTATTTATTGGACTGAAAGTAGGCAGGAAAATATTTACAGCCATACAAAATGCTGAAACAGGGACCTCTGTTTATAGAGGTAAACCTTGAAGTAAATGGCAAAACTCCCTTTGACTTCAATGGAGCCAGGATTTCACTGGTTATTTAAGAAACCATTTGTGCACTATGTCTTTTATTATTTATATGCATTTCCCTACTGCATATAGGCCCTAATCAGTATCAGACCCTACTGTTCTAGGCACTGTACAAACATGAAGATGAGGCAGGCACTAGACCCAGCATACAGCTTGGGTTTAAGACCAGATGCAACAAGCGAGTGTAACAAAGAAATGGGGAGTGGTGGGAGGCTGAGACAACAATAATATTACTTTATTTTATTCTTTGCACAGATGAGCTATATTCACCATATGTTGGTAGCTAAGTCTTTCTCATTTTTAATAATATGAAATATACAAATATATCGGTAGTGGCATCCTCACTTGGCTACTTTCCTAGGCATTGTCAGCTGAGGAGGGATGTGAAGGAGAATAGGTAGTGGTTTAATTGCTTAATTTGGGGAAGCTGTACCATCCATAAAGGGCAGCATGAAAGAATGTTCAAAGTAGTACATCACCGGCATTTAAGTTTGGCCATTGTGTATAAATGTGACAAACTTTTTGTTTTTTTCATTCACTACACAACTGGACTCTAAGGCTGGAATTCTCAAAGGGGCAAAGGAAGTTAGGCACCCAACTGCTATTGAAAATTAGTGGGATTTAGGCTTTTAATTACCTTAAGCCTTTGAAAATCCCAGTATCAGTTGTTCTTCCTATTGATATCTAATGTAAAATGGTATCTCAAGAAAATAGCAAATTGGCAAGGAGTGTATAGGGCTTGGGGGGAAATCACAAAGGGAATGCACAAGGAGGAAGCAGAGGAAGAGAACTTAGTAGAAGGTGCTAGACGTTATGCCTAGAACAGGAGGAGAGAGAAGTATGGTGGAGTAAAGGGCACAGAAGATGCACAGCAAGAAAATAATTAAAGAACAGACTCTAGAGAAAGAATCCTCAACCAAGAGGAAGCACAGCATAATTACTGTGCAGCAGCTCCAGGTTCAGAGAGGGAAGACACCTCCACTAACATCTCACAGGGACCATAATTGTGACCACCCAGATCCAACGGAGACACCTGCTCTGAGCAAAACACACTCCCGAACTTTCCACAGAGATTGCTGTAGCAAGCAAGATCCCAGATCACAAAGAAAAGGCAAAACAAGATTAAACAACTTTATGAAGGAGCAGGAACAACCAACTAACGCAAAAAAACTGTGATGAGTATTTTAAGTTGTTTGGATCAAGATACCTGTCAAAACTGCACTGCGCAAGCCAGTTTAATATAAGCTCATTTACTTTTAAATAAAATAAATGTACTTGGTGGTTTAACTGTAAAAAGACAACTATAATAAACTTCCATTTGTTACAACTCAACACTGTATTACAGAATATTAAGTGAAATGTAAATGATATAAAATGAAGTATGTAAATGTTATATTCAAATAAAAATGAAAAATGTACTTAAGGGAAAGCTCAATATTCAAATACAGTACACCTCTACCCCAATATAATGCTGTCCTCGGGAGCCAAAAAATCTTACCACGTTATAGGTGAAACTGTGTTATATCAAACTTGCTTTGATCCGCCGAAGCATGCAGCCCCGCTCCCCCAGAGCGCTGCTTTACCGCGTTATATCCGAATTCTTGTTATATCGGGTTGCGTTATATTGGGGTAGAGGTGTAGTTTTAAAAATTATGTCTTTTTGTGTCAAGTGTCTGCCAATTAATAAGAACCCTAAGATGCTTGACTATGATAAAAGGTACAGAGGGGAACAGAGGAGCAATATAAGGGCAAGAAGCCAACGAAGCATGGCGCAACTCTGTAGATTTGGAGGAACATATGGGGCAGGAGCACAGACAGACCTAAGAAGGAAGCATCTCTTCATGGTAAATGCCTTTCCAACCCATCAGAAGTTAGAACAGCTCAGTGCTGCATTAATTCCCCCCTTTAAAGTTGCTATCCTCTATGTGCAACTGCAGGGAAACAACCTATTAGAGGTGGTCAGGACTTTTTTTGACAAAAGTTGTGTTTTGTTGTCAGAAAATGCCAATACACTGAAATCACTAAGTTTTGTAGAAATGTATTCATTTTGACAAAATTTTCATATGCAAGGTTTCTCAGGTCCAGGATAGAATTTCTGGTCAAAGTGGGAGAGAGATGGCGACCCACCTCAGAATAGCCAATAGCCAGTGGGTAGGGCCCATATTTAAGGGAGATGTGGGATGTGGGAGACCCATATTTAAGTCCCTGCTCTCATGGGCTCATATTTCCCTTATATTGCTCTGTACCTTGTAGCTATTCCAAGGTGGGTCTCTGTCACACAAACGCAAATGCACACACTTTTTCATGAAAAATTTCAAAAGATCTGTTTCATTCTAGAACAAAAATAAATGTTAAAACTGACATTTTTTCAAAACGGAACTATTATTTTTCAGCCATCCCTAGAGCCTATAGCAGTTTGGTTCCTGAGTGAGCCAAGAATCAGGCTTTTGGGGGGGGGGGAGGGTATACAACAGTATAGAAATTGATATTGTTTTTAGTACTGCAGATCATGAATCATCTTGCATGACAAAATGTTTGTGTATTTTATTGATCAGAATGAAAACTTTAAATGTTTTACAAAACTCAACCACCTCTGAAATAAATCACTCTTGGCATCGTCAATCATAAGCGCTGTGAGGGAGGCTATATGTTTGGCTAGCACCTAGCCCATTGTGGGCATTACTGTAAAACAGATAAATCATAAGAAAAATAATAATACTTACATTCTAGGGTTTGTTTTATAATGGCAAAAGACTCAACTTTATTGAGTAAGAAGATTGTTGGCTTGAAGGGCTTTGATTTTATTGGGCTGTAGCCAAGATGATAAAGGAAGAGACGCACCTGAGAGCAGTAAGAAGAACTTCCTTTGCCTCTGTCAGCCACTGCCTTTTTCTTGCATTGATAAACCTGTTGAAGAGATCTCCTTGGTTACTCTGGATATTCAAACACTGTTTGCACCAGACACAATATCAAGTTCTACTACACTGGAGCTGAATACCAGCACCAACTGTACTACCCCTTCTGGCTTGAAGGCCTGGGATAGGGCCCATCTATCCAGGAGGTGGATGGACCAATGTCTATTCAGCAGGTAGAAACAACATACACCTTTTCCCCAACAGGGTAAACAAGCAATCTCATTCCCATTGTAGTTATCTGCAGAAGCACCTTCTTGCCTAAGTCACTGCATAATGCAAGAAGGATTTTAATAAACCCTCGCTATGGCAGAGAAAGACAAAACTCAGTAACAATTGCACACAAGAAAGCAGACAAGTCAGCACATACCTGTGTTATAGGAAGATTCCATGTGATGCAAAAAATGAATGGATGCCTACTAAAATAAACACACCCAAGCCAGAAAAGAGAACTCTAACTTCTGATTCTGCAGACACCAAACAGTCTTGCACAAAAGAGACGCTACCTGTGCCTTATACAATGAAGAGTGGATGGAAAAGATTTGCATCATCCTCAGGAAGAAGAAATGATGCTTTCCACATGGGGAAAACTTTTCTTGGGAATCAAGCATCAGTCCAAGTCAACTTGTCACAGTCCTATGACTTCTTCCTATAATGGTAGGGCTTGCAGCATTGTGTGTGGATTGGTGGGTGGAGAGTCATTCTCCCATGCCCTTCCCCACAACTTTCGGGTTCTGGCACACTTCCTGAAACCCATGAGCCTCTCCTGATTAAAGGCCAGGCCCACCCCATTTATAGAAAACTGGAAAGAATTATACTATGTGATAGTAAATATGCACGGTGAACGATAGCTGCACCTAACCTAAATTAAATGGATATTTTTACAGAGATAATGAATATAACCCATTTTGTTGGGGAAAAAATACTGAGCTGTTCAAGCAACATAGTATTCCATTTTAGATATATTACTTAATTTTCAAAGCAGCATTTTATATTTTTCCAAAAATAAAGGTGCATTTACAGCAGAAGCCTCTTCTCAAAGAAGACATTTGATCTCTACTAAACTGGAACATGCATAATAATACAACAGAAACATGTTCTAGTACATGACTCTTAATAAAACAGTTGAAAGAACACATCTGCAGTGTTCTGAAGCAAATCAGTATAAAACTAAAATACCCAAACCATCAGGAAACAAAAATGTATTAGAACAGCACATCTGTTGTTCACAAGGATTATCCTCTGAAGAGAAAGTCGAGAAAGCCCAACTACTAATATTTAGGACCTGGATGCACCTAAAGCTGCATCTCAATTAAAGGATCAAACTGCCCAGCTCTGACCAGTCAGGGACTTAATCATTTTCCAAGTTATTTTAATGGGCTTCTTAATTTTAAGTCTATTATTTAATTTTCTTAAAGATAATATACTGCACCTGATTATTTTCAGAGAAGTTAGAGCAGCAGCACCAAAGGCACAAAAATGACCAAATGGGCCAACTCAGTAGCTATTTTCTTCAAAGCCTCATTTTCCTTTTCATAAACTCTAAAATGAGGCTCACTGAGAATGAACACATCTAAATTACTCTTAGTGACTGGGGACAGCAAGCATTTGTAAGATTCCAAGGTCAAGCAGTAACTAAAAGATGATCAAACCAAAAAAGGAACAAAATTGGTTGAAAGAGGTTTATTATACTGTGGGAAAATACACATTTTTTAAGCATGTCTAATTTCAAAATAACCACATTACAGCACTTTCTTTTCTACAGAAACTATTCTTATGATCAACTCTACCTATCCATGACACAATGACCTCAAGTAAGCACAAAGCAAAATATGATTATCTACAAACGTTTAGAGAGATATATAAGCATTCAGAAACATTTGTGATGTCTGACCAGTTTTATAAATGTGTGTACTGCAAACAAGGTCCTGGCATACACATAATGGACGGTTCATATGTATGTACTATGTGGCTGAGATTTTCAGAACCACCTAGAAGATTTGGATAGCCACCATCCATTAGTATTAAAGTAACAGGTGTCCTAATCAGTTAGGTGGCTTTGAAAATTTTAAGCTATCTTTTTAGGGAAAAACATATCTGAAAAAAACAGTAAAAGTTTTAATTTAATTAATTTATTTGTGGTGTATAAAAATGAACTGTTCATAATATCACATGTACAAAAATATTTAAAGAAGTATCAATATTCAGTTGATATACTATACTATACTATAGGCAACATTACTGAAGGACTAACCCATTAGTCGTAAAAAAATCCTCCCCCTCAGACAGGAGCCTGGGACTTTACAGATAGAGCTGATGGCTGGGCTTTGTCAGACCAACCGAGGAACTGAATTTCAGCATTGGGAGCACTCCACTAAGAAATGCAGTCCACAGTTGTTGCCTATTTCCAAGAGATTTCTTAAATCAAACTAGGTTCATCATTCTGTGTGGGTGGACAAAAGCAGTAAGTTCATTACCCTGTAGGTGATACCTGACTTCAGGTTATTCAAACATTTGTATATGCTGTTTGTGATACATATTTAGGATGTGCATGACAATCAAATATGCCAGTAAACCCCTCATGAGAAAAGACCCTTTGAAAACTCTCTTGAGTTTTTGGCTGTGGAAACCCAACAGCTTCTTGCTCACTTGTAAAAGCTCTTGCAGCACTGTACATTACCCACACACACAACAACTGGACTGTCACAACTGAACATTGACTAAATATTACAGAAAACAAAAGAATTCACAAATTCTCTGGTATACGCATAAGAATCAAACATACAATTACAAAATGCTTCACTTCTACAGTCTTTCAGTTGAACTAAAAGAATAATTGAAATTGCACGTTTCTTGGTTTCATTAAAACAACAAAACTGCTACCAATTATATGCAATTTAACAGAGCTACTACATGGTTTTATGAATATTTTTAATCAGAATTGTCTGACGTAGATTAAAGTCATGATTCAGAAAAACGTCCCTATTCAAGACAACACTTAAGCACTTGCTTAATTTTAAGCACATGTTTAAGTGTTGTCCTGAATAGGGAAGGACTTGCATCTAAGTGCTTTACTGAATTAGGGCCTATAGCCTGAAATGTTAATGGGAAATCTCAAGAATGCATTACATGATATTAGTTCTAGTTATACTTCTAAATACTCTTAGAAATCTTAACTTACGAGACTTTTTAGTTCGAGTGGTGGGCTTTTCCAAATATGTATGAAATTACATCTTCTTCCCTTTCACTATTGGGTCTGTTAATTACACACATTGTATACAATAATTTGCAAACTTGTAAAGATGTGTATGTCTTATTTAAAGATTTTGATCAAGTCTCTGGAAATGTTTCTAAATAAACATGGTTGTCTTGGTCTTCCTCTGTATTTTTAAATACAAATACCAACTTAATTATCATTATATTAAAATTATGCAATCAAGTTCATTGCACATAAAAAGGAATGCCAAAAAAGGAGAACAAAGTAAAATTGATGGATTCAAGTGGAAAAATAAATAAATAAAGCGCTAGCTGGAGTTGTGAAGATCATGCATTAAGATGAAAGATGAAACAGATGCAATACACAGAAAGATCAAAGAGCTCCATCAATTCATTCTGAGAGTCAAAATCCAGCTGAGCATCAGAGCTCTGTCCGCATAATAAGAAAGGTTGACTAAAACATAAGGATTAAACAGATGAGCTGTCTCCTGTGAACGCACGGCAGAGAAGCCCCGCTGAGCCACTTTTAAAGACACTCTGGAATTGTACACCTGCTACTCCACAGTCAAACCAACAGGAAGCCAGGCTGGCAGGAAAAAAAAATCTACTAATGGACTAAATAGCTATCTTTAGGAGAAGGAAAAGTGTCCCGAATGCACACTTTTGAGAAGAAATGTTCAGTTCAGGAAAATTACAATTTATAGATTTGTTCTTTTTATCCTTAGAGTTAGTTGGTTTACCAAACATTTTCATTCAAACATGAATGTAAAGCAAATATTACCATCATCTTCACATTCACTTATAAAGGAAACAAAAGCCTACTAAGTATTGTTCCTGTGATAGAAGCCTAAGAAACTAGATAATAGGGTCAGCCTAGGACTATGTATAGAAATATCAGCAACAATATTTCTGGTTTAGAATCCATTTGCTTACTCTGTAAATATGATGCTAACTGGCAAAACTATCAATGACTTCTTTGGGGCAGAATGAAACTTCAAGATCACTGAAAAATGACATAATTTCTAATAAAGGAATAATTTTAAATAGTATCATACATAGTCCCCTTTCTTGTCTCAACCATCAGATAGACTAAACAAATAAAAATTAAAAATCCCAGTATAGGACAATGATTATTTTGCTCTTATTTTTTCTCATTGGTAATGAGAAATAAAACCAGGAAAAATATTATGTTAAATAGTGGTCGTGACAACAAACTAATTAAGATAACGTTTTTCAAGTGATGCTGGAATAGAAACTAGATTAATTTTAGTATTAAAAACCTAATTTTAAACTATTTCCTATATTGTCCACTACTTTTAGTTCCAAATGCAATCCCTATATATAAAAAATTAAGTAGTAACAATAATTTCAGTACTTGGAACAAAGGGTAAATTGCTGAGGCTTTACAAATTTGTGGCATCATCAACATGCTATTCCGCGTCTTACTCAGAGTAAAGCCTGCAATCCATAAGCTGAAAGTGAGTATTGTACAAAGCAAAATAAACTTACAATAAACTTTTTTAAGGCTTTGATTTTATTTTCACCAACTTTTCAATTAGATTTCAACTGGTTGCCATAGGTGGCTTCTCTCCCTTTTTTTCTTTTATATAAATGTCACTAACTTGTTTGGCCTATGAGTGTTATTTACAATCACCTCTTTTACTCTTGTTTTAGCTGACAGGACAATCTCTTCATGGATCTGTGTAGAGCTGATATATTTGATTTCCAGGTTATCTACTGCCTGCAGATACAAGCACTTCGATTGTTTACAATGCAGGA